TAGAGAGAGAGAGAGAGAGAGAGAGAGAGAGAGAGAGAGAGAACCACTATTGGTACGATCATTTATTTGTCCCTCACCCTTGTTGTGTTCCAAAAGTTCACTTGCAATTGACTGAATGAAGGGCTGAACATTGAAAGAAAAAGGAAACCAATTTAATGAATCAGGAAAAGGATGCTGGGACTTGAGCTATTTGTGTCCCCACCGTAGGAAATGTGATCAAGCCACCACTCAGCAATTTTAGAAAGATGTTATTCCTGAATTCAGAAATAAAAGATGATCTCCAAAGTAAGAAGGAAACCCAACCAAGAAAGTGGAAAGGAAAGGAAATGGACACCAGAAACTGAGACATGGGATACATATTTCTCAGCATTATGATACATTAAACAGACAATATGGCTGTGTTAATAATACAACACATTACAAATGCACAACTAGAATCAACGCCCAGTTAGCTTAACCATCCAAGCACCCCCTAAATACAGACCAAGAAGAGGCCCTGCTAAAAGGACTTGGGTTAGAGGATCTGTCGATGGTGTAAGCACCGCAGCAGCAACCACAGAACCAACCACTACATATCTCCAAATCGATAGCATTTGATCCCCACTCACAAGACCAACTTGTCCCAATAGAAATTGTATAACTGGAACCTGTAAAAAGGCCAGTGACTGTTAAATCTGTAAAATTAAAAATGACACCCATTATTCAATTTTGACCTCAAGTAACTGTCTCTTTTTTCTGTAGTCTTTTCTTTTCGACATGTAAGTACCAACCTTTTTTTTATAATAGTAATTACCCTTTTGTTTCAGCTCCAAACACGCAAAATACAAAATATCACATACATTGCTTTAGATGAGTCAGATTACTTGTCTTCACTTGCAATGGCTTCTCAAAGGAAAAAGCTCAAATGCAAGTAATCAGCTCACCTGAAAAGAGAGACCAGTGCTGAACATAAGCACTAATACGAACTCGAAGTATTGATCAATCGACCATAAGGATTCCACCAATCCTTGTGCATAATTGACGAAGAAAGTCAAAGCAGCTGGAGTGAGAACTATGTAAGAGAAGACTATTCCAGCATAGAAAAGCACTGAAGAGCCAAAGACAATGGGTCCCAAGAACCTCCGCTCATCCCTCGTCAAGCCAGGGAGAACAAAGGCAATGACCTCATAGAGGATGACTGGACTACCAAGAAGGAGCCCACAGTAACCAGATACCTGTACAGAGACAATCACATGCCAATCTCAGAAGAAAAGAGGGTGAAAAGAGAAGCCATTGATAAAATAGGCCAATATGGCTATTAACTGACTCAGAAATGGGGAACTACATACATTGATAAAAAAATGATGTACATAAAACTTTGGGTTCGATTTTACAGTCTTTCTGATTCAGTTTAATTCTTTAAGTTATGAATAAAGGACGTGTGTCGCAGTCAGCTACTCAGCATAAATAGATTATGCATCTGAAATTCCGAAGTCCACCTTCCCCTGCATAATCTTTTTCTCGAAGTCATCGTGTCTATCCTTGCATCAATGTCCCTTACCTTCAACCTTTCATCTTTCCATTTCGTCCCAAACCACTCAACATGCTCCTCTTTTCATGGCCTTCAGAATAAAACCAACTAAAATGTCTCTCTCCCAAAACACCACATCCTTGTAAGCAAACATTAACGTACCAGTGCCATTGTGGCCTTCCTGCCATAACTTGGAGGTTAGTACATATTCTCCCTCATCGTGGTATTCTTGTGCCAATCTTCATTGACTTGACAATCTGCATTCTTCACTCAGTTGGGGTAAGCCATCCTCATCACCTCTTCAGCTTCTTGCCTACTTCACAATATACTGGATTTTAGAAGATTGAAAATCAACAAGGGAATTGAGATCTTCTTCAATATTATGAAGAAAATGAAACAGCCCATGTCCAACTATAGAGTGGGTGTAAAATATTGACTTACATTATGCACTTGCAATGGGATCATTGCAAACTTAATACTCTGCCAATCTTGATGTATCTCCTATGAAACTATAATGTCATTCAATTCATCCATATATATCCAAGTTATGATTCATGAGAAAACCGCACATCTAGAAGTTGAGTATCATTATCTGAGCCAGATAGAGGCTTCCTCTATATCTCAACAGACTAGTAAAACATTTATAGCTGATTAATAGAAAAATTCTACCTCCTAAAACTATGCTTGCTTGAGCTTGGGATGAGGAGGATGTTGGTGGCTTAGCACCTTATAAGGGGCATTCTGACATTTAACCTTAATGCGGATAACCCCATAAGGAATAATTCTGTTACTGTTTTCTATGTGCAGAAATATAAGTACTCCATTTATTCTCAAGGATATCTTGATTCTTGCACTTTGGTAATGGGGCGAGGGTCGTGGTGGTAGCACCCCCAGCTAAGGTCTAGGTTTTTATTCTCACCAAACACCATTGAAACAACTAATGATTTTTAAAAAGGTAGGGGCCTGTATCCCCAGTGAAGTACACAAGATAATAATAATAATAAATAATAAAAAAAACAAATAAATAAATAAATAAAAACTAATTTCAAAGTCAAGGAGCATCACCACAATATGTAAGTAATCTCATACAGATATCTAATTTGTCCATACATTATAACAAATTAAAAATAAAAAACACAAAGAGAATGTGAAATTTCAACTTATTCAGAATACAGAAGAAAGTGGAGATTGTTGGGGATGAAACTGATTTTTCTTTTTCTTTGGAAGTTTGATTTTATATTATTTGAAGAGAGATTTACAAATTTACAATTTGCGTAGAGCTGCAACTGCGCAAAACCAGCAAAGCTCAAAAATCAAAAGAGAAATATTTTGACAATAAAGGAATAAAAATTGTCCTCTTAGCACAAAGAGCTGTTCACTAGATAACTATTGCCAGCAGCCCCTTCCTTTGCAAGTGCATTAGCTGTTTCATTTGCATGATTGCTCGTAAAAGACACGTAGGTCACTGCAAATCGCAGAAATTTGGTGCAAAATTGCTCAAGGTACCTTGGACAAGGGGCCTGCCTTGAAGCCCATAGAAGAAATTCATAGAATTCCATACCAATTCGAAATGCGGAACCCAATTGGTATCAAACAGTTTGAGGCCCATTTCACAGTGCCCATGCTTCAGCCTTTGTGGACTTTAAGAGAGCAGGCTTGAGCTAGATCTTTCTAAATATACACCCCATTTCCGGGGGCCTAGATTGGGAGCAAACATCGAGACTAATTCTGGTGACCCGAATAGGAGATATCCACAGGTCAGACCTGGCCACTACCATTAGTCTAGCACCTTGGATACACCTCCAATTCGGGAAAAAGTCTGATTAAGACCAGCCAACAAAATCCTTATGGTTCTGTGCATGAGAGATGAATGTGGCCTTAAACTTCTTTTCAAAGTATCCATCCCTTTGCCTTGCTTCCAAAAACTCCTGCGTTGTACTTATGCCATAAGGTCCATAATGAGGCTAGTATGGATGCTCCCCATGGGAAGAGAAACCAGGGAATGGTGGCGAGAAGTAACTGGAAAAGAGGTGCTGGAAACTGTTGGGCCACACCAATTACCACTCAAAGAGATCCAGAAAAGATGCGTACATCCGGACAGCCACCAGCAATACACAAATATATGGACCATATTTTCGTCCACCTCCTTACACATAACAAATCTTTTAGGCATAAGAATGTCTCTCCTTTGGAATTGAGATATTGTGAGGGCTTTCATAGGGATTACAAGCCAGTTGAAAGCCCGCATCTTAGGGGGCACGGGGGTAATCTAGGCATTGCCCATGATGATATGCCCACTTTGCATGGCAGTGAAATCGATAAAATGCCAGATGACTCAAGGGTCCAAATTATCTTATCACTTTCCACTAGTGTTAAGAACTGGTTGTTGAGTAGGTCCAAGAGACCTGCCTATTCTGTAATTTTGGTGTGTCCCAATGATTCTAAAATTTGTTAACCATATTAGTTGTCCCTCAAGCACCTCTCAAGACTGATCAAATTAGAAACATTCTAGGCTATGGCAAGAGAGAAAAAGCGAGGGAAGAGGCTTTCGAGGGTGTGGTCCCTAGCCCATAAATCCCACCACAGTATGGTTCGGTCACCAGTGTTTGGCAGTTGTGTTCTACTAACAAAATCTCCATATAGAGTGGATATACCCCTCCAAGCGCCAGAGGCACGAGCATTGGTGTGGTTCTTTGGTAGGCACCTGACTATCCAAACGTAGTACACATTATCATAGACTACCATTTTGTGCAAAATGCGACCACCACTGAATTAGTAGGGTCAAGTTGGACTCTCTTAGTCATCTAATACCTCAGCCACCCTATCTATTTGGTCTGCAAACCAAATCCCAGCTTGCTAAGTTTTTTTTCTTCTTCTTCTTACATGACCTAGTTCACATAACGCCGAGTAGTAAACTATGATTTCTCACATAACAAGAAGAGATGTCCATCAGAAATTCATTTCTGATTTGTTTTCTTCCTCGTACCATCAGACAATGATCGAGGCAACAGTGAAAAGATTCAATTTGGAATGTTGAAATTAAATTATTGAAGAAATGTAATTACTTAGGAATGGGCCCTTGGCCTGGGTGATCGAGATGGTAGAGCCAAGACGTGACATCAAGAAGAAGAAGAAGAAGAAGAAGAAGGAGCCTAGTTACATATAAACCATGCAATACATAGATTTCTCCAAAACATACATACACAAAAAAGAAAAAGAAGATGAAAATTTTTCAGGTTTGTTATTAATTAGGATAGATAATATATCGATATTTCTCATTTCTAAAGGCAGCTATCTTTCCCAACTCACTACGAGCATTCGCTGGATATATGCGACAAAGTTGCAACGCACCCATGCCTAACCTGCACCAACACAAACATATAAAATAAGTGAAAAATGAATCATCATCATCATCATCGGAACCTTTTCCCAATTAATTGGGTTGGCTACAGGCCATTCTGATCTCTCATATGGGCCATACCCTCATTGAGGCCATAAGTCCACATATCTTTTCTCACTGCTTCCAACCATGTCCTTTTGGGCCTACACTTTGCCCTTTTAAAGCCTTTCACTTGAACTAACTCGCACCTCCTAACAAGTGTCGTACTGGGTCTGTACTGCACTTGGCCAATCCACCTAAGTCTACTTTCTCGCATCACATCTCTACTAGTGCTACTCCTAAATTCTCTCGAATGTATTCATTTCGAATTCAATTCCTTCTTGTCTTGCCACTCATCCATCTCAATATCTTCATCTCAGCTACATGAGTGAAACATGAATACTTTTCTAAAATATTTGATGCATTAGGGAGTCTGACTGAGCATGTAAAGAAAAATATTTCTAGGAGACATTTCTCCAGTAATTACCATTGATTTTAAATATGAATGTTTAAAACAAAAGAAAGAGAAGGACTGCTTTCTTATCAGAAAAAATTTGCTAAAGAGCATAGTAATGTGTCATCAATATCAAGGCCAGCAACAAATTTCAACATATAGTGTTTTGGATGTCCTTTAAACCACATAATAAAAATAGCTTTCTGAACATATGAAATGGAAAACGACCAATACATAAAGGAGCACCAAATTCAAAGTTAATTATTCCAAAATCAAATTACATACAGAATAAAAAAAACAATACAGAATAAAAGGAAATTGCAAACAAGTAAAATAGGTGCGCAGATTTTAATGGCATTCCACAAGTGTACCTTCAGTGTTGTGAAGAAGAACTCCCCTGGAGATAATTGGAGAAATCGAACACCTTGAGAGCTAACAGGAGCCTCAAGTATCATTATCAACTCTTTAGAAAATGCAAAGCAGCCCAAGATAGCTGCTCCGACTGCTAAAACGGAAACAAATATTCTCTGCCGCAGCTCCTCCAAGTGATCAAATATACTCATCTCTTGGTCATCTGGAAGGAGTTCTTTGCTGGGATAAAGCCAATTATACAAAGAACTTTCTCCATTTTCTTGTTCTGCACTTTCTGGAATTTCTGCTTGCGATCTATCAGGCACACCTATGATTACCAAAATAGAAAAGAGCTAATTCTTGTTCCAGGAAATCTGGGTTGCTGATTTAAACTCAGATGATCAAATGTTGCTTAAACGGTGTACAACTAAGAAAGAAAAAAGAGTGTAAGCAAGTCAACATTACAAGTTGAAGGATCCCATAGATAACCAAGGCCCAGTTTGGTAGTGAATAGAATGTGTTGAGCACATACCACCGCACCAAAACAACAAAAGTACGTCTACAAGTGGCATGAAAATAATTATTTCCCTTTTTAACCCATCTGTATAACAGGCCACCTTTTACCAGGGTGCTAGTTGCAAGCATATTTTCTATGTGGTATCCATAGGTCATCTTATTGGAACATTGACGTTTTGTTCAGCCCAATCTAAAACAGTACGAAATGCTGTTTCGCAACGGCTTCCAAACTGGCTTTAAAATTAACAAGGTCAATAGTCTAATAGATGTAAACAGCAACTAAGAAAACAATTGATTGCAAAATAAAGTAATGCAAAAGCTCATGGCATTGCACACGAGAAATAACATATGGCTTTATTTGAAAAAATCAAGTGGTTCAAAACTGCACACATAATTTTTCTAAACACGCAGAAGATTGTGAGCGACAAATAGACACAAGACACATCCAGGGAACAGCAATGAAGTCATACCACCAAATTTGTCTTAAATTTATGAGCAAAGACAAACAAAATGTGAAGTTTTAAAGTTGGCAGAAATGAAGAACATAATTTTTGTTAAATCACAAAAATAGAATACGCAAACTATTTCTTTGAATGTCATGTCACAAAAATGATTATCCCTCCAGAAGAATATCCCATCTTCGGTGATTTGGTTGCATTTGCATGGTACATTTGTCATTCATTAGAAATACAAAGGTTTCTGATGCCATTAGCTCCTAAGTTCCCTCATTATGTTACAATTCTTGAGCATATGCCCGACACTATTCTGTCTTCTGACTTACCTACTACATCTAATAGAGAACTAATGAGAAATATGGTTAAACGAGAACAAGGGCACAAGATCGAATATGAACTCTGAACTCTGGGGATCAGCATACTTGTATAAGGTTTCAACCCAAGCTACTGCCTGCTCCTACGGGCTATCAAATCGCTCCGAGCAAGGGATACGTTCATTACTACCACTAGCTCTCTTGGTACATCAAAGCACATGCTTCAATTATCAAAAGAATAAAAAATGAAAAATAAACAAAGAAATTTACTTGGCCTCCACAACTTCCATAGCTTATCATGCAGGGAGGATTAGCAGAGAGAGTTTGGCTAACTTTGCATGAGCTTCACAAGCAACATAACAAAGCAATTTAATCCAGAGCCCATGCTACCACTCAAAGTACCCACAACAAAGGGCTGTACTTATGTCCAATGTACAACCTCTCTTGTTACATGCTTTACAGATATATTCCTTGAGAATTACTACGGTAGAAAACTTTTGCTATCTGCAATTCCCTCTATGATCTCAAACAAACGTTGACATCAGTTTAGGAACCCAGCCTCATGGCCAACAAGCTGGTCTTACTAAAGATGCACCAGATACACGTCACATTTCATAATACTATTTAGAAGCCATGCAATCCCATTGTTACATCTACAATGGAGCTATTATGACTTGCAATTCACTTTGTCAAGAGTCAGCTGCATAAGATATTTAAGCTGGTGAATTTGGATCATCTGAAGTATCTTAGGAGATAAGGTCACCCAGTATCCTTACAACATTTATCGTTCTAAGCTCAAGCCTATCAGGTTTTGTAGCACTGATCAGAAGATATTCTTTAAGATTAATATTAAGTATACCCCTCTTTAAACCTCAATTTATACAGCCTGTATGTGGAAAATCATACATCGCCTGAATTGCCAAGTTAAAATTGCAGTAGAAGTTGTAGAGGGAAATTAACATACCTGTCAATACATTTCAATGCATACAGAAGTTCTGAAGTGCCAGAGTAGCACTACTGATTCCCACTAGATATCTCTAAGTTAAATTCCCAAATTTTGTAAATCTTGTAGGGAAAGTAAAGAAAATTTCTTGCAGTTCCTTAGTTCATCTGATAAGTGCACATCCATTGGCTTGTACATGGATGCTATGAGTAAAACCTCCCAACAAATTACCTACACACCAATTCTATGGTAAAGCTCCACTACAATTACATAAGACATAATGGATGACACCATCAATGTATTGGTGAATGCTTTTCCATAGGTGAAGCTTTCACCTGAAACTGTCACAAAGGAAACTTTTGCTTCTCCAACAAGGAGAGCAGTGTTAAACTAAACATGGAAAAAAAAAAGAAGAAAGAAAATTCCTAGGGAGGTTCCGAATAAGTAAATATGAGGGGGAAAAAATTAAAATTGCATATTGTGTATATATAGACCAAGAGAACATATACACTGTCCAAGAAGCTCTCAAACTGGATTCTTGAGCGCTCAAGCATGATACAAAAGGTTAAGTGATCCACCCGTATAAAATTGATAAATAACTACACCCACACATAGACAAACACAAGATGTTTAAAATTGGAAATCAATGGATGCCCCCCACTGCCGTCCCCCGGCGCCAGAAAAAAAAAAAACACAAAAAGGAAAAGCTTAAAATATGCATAAACAAGCAGAATTTCAAATGAATAGACGTATACATGAGATGCTTAAATTTGGAAATTCAAAGAATAAAGTAAAAATCCCTTTTCAAGGAAGTAATTTAATAGAGAAAACCAGGAAAATTAAGCATAATTGCAAATAAATAGATGTGAAAGGCCAACAGAAACAAGTGGGAGAGGATTAATATACCAGGCCTTTCCTCAAGAGCCGAACCAATGCCACCGATACTCCCATCTTTTCGGTCGTCTTCTAAAGCACGACAAAGCAGACCCCTTCGAACACATCTGGGTGCAGCTAAACCAGTCTCTGGCCATTGGGGGAAGAGCTTGGGCACCACCCCAAGAGTTGCAGTAATGGAGGTCGCTCTACTGCAGGATGAGGTGGTTCTGGTCTCTCTCTGTTGAATCCATTTTAAATGCAAGTGGGTTAAGCACCCTGTGCACCCCATCTTGTCCCCTTTCTTCTTCTTTGAGATTGAAATAAAGGTTTTACAGTTTTCGTTCTCCGAGGAGATTGCGTACGCATGGCTCTCGATTGAAAGTAATGCGAGAAAATATCCATTAGGAAAAATGGTTTCATGAGTCGGCAGACGCATTTCTACATGGCGTTCCCCAAGGCATAAAACGTCCATTTTAAAGATGGATGTGCGGTTTGTATATAGCCTATGCACTAAACCATCAAATGAGAGCCTACCTTCCAATAATGTCTAGAAATGTGCTTTTAATACTGGAAATCTTTGTCACTGCCCTTAAATATATTTTCATATATTTTTCAGTTTTTTGTTACGTGCCTAACATGTAGCGCATCTTCTCTAAGGATCATACAAAGTCATGTAGGAGTAGTTGGTATGTATATCTCATGTAGAGTTATGTAGTAGTTAATAAAGTGGTGTATGTCTTTTTAGATAGATTTATATGAGTAGTTATAGAACGTTATCCTTCGATTATTTGTAATCAACGTGGCTTGAGTATTTAATGATATTTGGGACGGAAAGTTTTGAACCCCAACCAACACGTATGTGTTAATGAGGTCAGGTTTCCTCTATTCAACCTATTTTTACGTTTTTATTTTATGTTGCATTAGCAAGATAGCAAGATAGGTACGTCGTCTGCTGCATTAGCAAGATAGCAAGATAGCAAGATAGGTACGTCATATGCTGCTTTAGCAAGATCGGTACATCATCTGTTACATTAGCTAGAGAGATACGTCCAAGAACAGGAAGATAAGTACGTTGTCTGCTGCATTAGCAAGATAGATAAAGATTGGTACATCAAAGAGTCGAAGAACATGAAAAACTTTCCTCAGTACGTGTCATTGTGGTATCAGAGCAAAGGCATGGATCAGTGAGTGGAGAAGTTGGAAGATGATGTGAGCTCTCTCACTACTGGACAACAACAGCTAATGGATAAGCTTAACGAGCTGTTCGAAAAGCTTAGTTCGCATCTAGCTAATATTGAACTTGAAGTAAGGGATAACTCACGGGCTCCAATCCAAAACCATGGAGTACGACCTGGGAACACCAATGGAAACCGTCAAAATGGATCGCAGCAGTCCTTCGCTCCAAGGCTTCTCAAACTCAATTTTCCCGCTTTAATGGTGAAGAAGACACGACAAATTGGACTTATACGGTAGAGCAATTTTTTCAGTTCCATCAAACACGAAAGGAAGAACGTGTGGCTCTTGCATCCTTCCATTTGGAGGGTGACGCTCAGCTGTGGTACCAACTAGTCAAACAAGAAGGAGGCGAAATGACTTGGCAGACGTTTTGTGACGGGTTGCACGCTAGGTACGGTCCCACCCAATTCCAAGATTTATTTGGAGAGTTAGCTAAGTTGCAACAAACTGAAACTCTTTGAGACTACCAAACTCAATTTGAAAGGCTACTCACTAAGGTGGGGTATCTTCCTCATAACTGACAAGTCAGCTATTTCATCAGCGGATTAGGCGACAACATCAAGGCAGACGTGTTAGCATGGCACCCTACGACCTTATCAGCAGCTATCAGACTTGCCCATTTGTACGAGGCCCTCAATTTCTCGCAACGGCGATATAGTCCAACGTCTTATGCGAAGGAGTCCATCACAACCAGTAAGGAGGCTACCAACAATGGCCCTACGCTTCCTGTTCGGCGGATGGCACCTACTGAATTGCAAGAGAGACGTGCAAAAGGATTGTTAACAGGAAATTTGTGCCTAGGCATCGACGTAAGAAGTTGTTTTTAATTGAAGCCTCTTATGAAGAAGAAGATAGCATCATTGCACATACCAACCATTTCCCGATTTTGATGTTACTTAACATCATAGTACATACCGATTTTGGTCTTGTTTTTTATGTTACTTAACATCATAGTACATACCGATTTTGGTCTTGAGGATAAGACCAAATTTTAAGGAGGGAGGAGATGTTACGTACATAACATGTAGCTTCTCTTCTTCTCTTCTTTAAGGATAAGCAAGGCAGGCATGGGTATGTATATCTCATGCAGAGTCATGTAAGAGTAGTTAATAAAGTCATGTATAATCAACGTGGGTTGAGTATTTAATGAGAAGTAATCTTTTTGGAGGGGAAGCTTTTGAACCCCAACCAACAACTTTAAGGATAAGCATGGTAAAGAGTCATGGGTTGAGTATTTAATGAGAGAGGAGTAGTTAATAAAGTCGTGTATAATCAACGGGGGTTGAGTATTTAATGAAAAGTAAGCTTTCAAGAGGAGAAGCTTTTGAACCCCAAGGAATACGTATGTGTTAACGAGGTCAGGTTTCCTTCATTAAACTTATTTTTACTTACTACGTTTTTGTTTACTATTGCATTTGCAAGATAACAAGATAGGTACATCGAAGAACAGGAAGAACTCTCATCAGTATGTGATTTTCATCTTTATTTACAAAGTTTGAAACTTCAAAAATGATGAAAATATTTACAAAGTTTAAAGCTTCAAAAATAGTGTAGATCGACAAACCTATGAAACATTGAAAATTGGCGGTCCAAAAATGAGTTACAGAATCCACTATTCCCAAATTTGAAATCCATTTTTTTCTTATGTCCATGCATCTTGATGTCGAGATGATCAATTTGAGGATATTTGGGCATCAAAACAAACTCTTCAATTGAAATTTTAAGGTAGGCTCTTATTTGCTTGTTTAGAGCCTCGGCTATATAGAGACCTTTTCCCCTTGAAAATTGGGTCCAAAATTCCACCTCAAAAATATATTTTTAAGAGGGGATTCATTTTTACATGGACACATAGAAACTGTGTCCCATATCATTAAGCCAAAATGTTATATGCTCCACTTTGTGGATATTAGATTCTCTTAAATTTGAGGATAGAATTTCCTCGTTTAATTTGGGATAGTTAGATTCCAGAATCTAATTTCCTTTTGAAAATATTCTTCTCATTATTATTATTATTTAGGTAATTCAGTAGTAGGAATCAAAATTGAGATGTTGCATGACTAATATCAGAGCAAGAGGTATATAATGTATTCTAGTGCGAGTGGGAGAATGTCATATGCGTTAAAATGTTGAGGTAGTTAAATCAACTAATTTTCAATCATATCAATTACATCATTACTTTACATCCTTTTATTAATTGTTTCATTAAAATATTCTCAAAATGCTATTGTTCAGGATTTAAAACATGAGCAGTGATTTGATGGACAAAAGTGATCATGACCTCCTTGTATTAAAAGTAAATGGTCTCTTTGTATACTTTCTCATTTAATAATGGGTGTGGTTTCTACAAGGTTGCAACCTTAAACAATCTAATTAGACGCACCTACAAGTTTTATCATAACATGTAATTTTGGTGTAATTTTTTTTTAAGATTATCGAAAAATCTATTTTCATAATAATAAAATTTTAAACTCCAAAAATAGTTAAAATCATGTAGATCGATAAATGTATGAAAATATTGAAAATGGCCGGTCTAGATAATGTGTTGCAAGATGCACTATTTCTGGGACTCAAATTGTTATTATTTTTATATATATTCATACTTCTCGATGTCGAGATGATCAATTAGATGGTTTTTAATAATAGAACTGTTGGTACGTATGGGTGGCCATGAGGCCCTCATACATGCTATTTTTTTTTCTTTAATCTTGCTCATAAATATTATTTTTATCACTAAATAAAGGCATTTTTTAGAGAAAGAAGAGTCATCATCTAACGGGTAGATGATAACTACCCACCTCCCAAGATTATGGGCCACGTTTTCTCAAAGATTTCAGAAGGAAACCGAACGTTGGAGAACGGTCTCCTCCATCCCTCTATAACTGGGTCTTTCATGGTTATGAAAAGGCACGCAAGTAACCTTTTGAGTTCTCATTGTTCTGAAAAATCCTGCCCTCTGCGATCCTCAGTCTCATAACACCGCCAGTAATATTGCGAGAGGAGTCTATTTTTTCCCTCAAGATTTCAACATTGGTATCAAAGCCAGGTTGTGGAAGCGTGGTGGGCTCATAACCTATCGTGCAAATATAAACTATACGAGAAAATTTTTGTTTTGAGGTTGCAGCTCACTGGAGAGTCGGAAAACCTATTGATTTAGCTAGTAGACAACCTTTTCTTAAACACAATTAAATTTTTTGAACTTATAGGTATTATCTAAAAATTTAAAATGGCATCTAGGCTAGTCATGTCAGAACTATCCAAACTTGAAAAACTCAATGGGACCAAGTTTTCTATGTGGAAAAGAAAAATTGGATATACTCTTTTCCAAGATATGGTAGATTATGTCGTAGAAACAGAACCACCAATTTTAGTACCTAATGGTAATGATCAAGCCAGACGACTTGAAAAATGGTTAGAAGATGACAAAGTAGCTAGGACTACTATGTTGAGCTTTATGGAAGATGATTTAATTAAAGTATTTGATGATCACACCACAACTCAAAGTATGATGGGTGCCCTATCTAAAAAGTATGGGACCACTTCTAAGACCTATGTACAATTGTTGTAAAAAAAATGCAATTTTTGCAGAATGAAAGAATTGGACTCAATGACCGAGTATGTCAACAAAATGACAATGCTTGAAAAGGACCTTGTTGCAGCTGGGGATCCAGTCCCCTACCACATGCAAGTGTTCTTTGTCCTTAACAGTCTCCCTCTATCTTGAGAGTTTGTTATAATTGCATTGAATCATTTTGCACAAGGGATAACCATGTTAAATCTTCCCATGCATCTCAGTATTAAAGTTGAGAGAAGAATGAAGAAGAAGTCAAATGAGCTCCACTTTGTCCAAAGTTCAGATTCTTAGATCCCCAAGAAACCTTTCAATAATCAGAAAAATAATAGGTATAAGGGAAAGGGGAGAATTTTTAAAAATAAAAAGAACAAAGTTGAGAAGACCTGTTTTTATTGTAAGGATTTTTAAAAATAAAAAGAACAAGGTTGAGAAGACCTGTTTTTATTGTAAGGAAATTGAGCACATCAAGTTTAACTATCCTAAGTTGAAAAATAAAAATAGGAACCAGAATAACAACTCTACTCGAAATAAAAAAAAAAGAAAAGACTTGATCTGCATAGTCC